GAGATTCGGACAAAGTGTTGTCTAATTCAGTATTTTTTCCTAAATAATAATTTCCTCTCGCCCTAGTTTGTAGTATTTCAAAATAATGTATAATTAATGCTACCGGACACTTTCAATATTTCTAACTCTTGATCCCGCTAATTTCTATCCACTAGACTTAAACTCCCTACTATCATTGATTTCATTACTTCTATCGTGGAACCCCGAATTTGTGGGTTTCTGATACGTATCGCCACCCAGTGTGTTACCTTCTATGATAGCTATGACATCCACAAAGGGTGACTTACTGCCCTTTTCTGACTTTATAGTGAATTTTCATTTTCATATATTTATCCTTTTCCCGCACCATCCATGAAAGCTGGGCAATTTGTCGATATAGGCACTGGCAGAAGCAGATGCAAACCGGCAAGAATGGATATTATAAAAGAAAGCATACCGTGTCTCTTAGTGCCTCCAGACGTGCTTCTTTCTCATGAAGGCTGTGCAGTCGATTTGCCTCGAGCCGGGCGCGATCTGTCCGCATTCGTTGCAAGTGAAGCTTTCCCGCTTCTCTGATCCGTCGGGTACTCTCACGAGCTCTGGCCACTTTCTGCTGCTCCATGTCGGCAAACTGCTCGTTCGCTTTACGAGAGGCGGCCTCCGATTCTTGCCTCCGAAGGGCACGATGTTGAGCAATCTGTGAAGAATAACGGATTCTGATAAGTCTTTTCTTGCCATTTAACAAGAAGACACACGAACACGCCAGCTCCTCTGAAACAGCCACTTCTGATGCAAGCCATGAGCTCAGCAAAGGTTACGAAAGAGGTACCAAATACGCACTCGTTAGAGTGCTTATGAGTATGTCGTAGGTGAGATTAGTTTCCATGACTCTCAGTAATTAGCAAATAATAACTCAGTAACTCAACCTCGCTGAAAACGATTTAGAAACTGACATTTCGTTTGTAAGTAGTATCTCGAGGCTGTCAGTAAATCAGATACATGACATGTGTTAAAAGTGATTAATAGCGGGTAGAATATATCTCGAAAGTCTCGAAAGCCAACTTATAAACGAAAAATGAGTAAAGTGGTAACGTATGGCAAATGCATCGACAATCTTACAACAAAATGTGATATGGGAAAACGCCTGACCTTCCTTAAAATTCACATCTGTTCTGTGACCCAAAGGCAATAGTACAAATGTGGCGTAGTGGGTAATGTGTTATGAGTATACACTGCATTGGCATGGTTCGAGTTCCGTCGTCCATATTGATGAGACGGGTTCAGACGAGGCCGAAGCTGAAGTCGACTACAGCCGAGATGAGAATAGCCTTTTGGGAATGCAATATTGTGTGAAATTCAATTGGCTGATTGTGGGAAAATTCAACCAACTCGGATGACCCAATCTCAATTATCTGA